CCCCCCCCCCCCCCCCCCTCGAATTGATTTTTCAATACAGACCCCCCCCCCGCCCCCTTGGAATTGATTTTTCAATACAGACCCCCCCCCTCTAAATTCAATTCTCTCCTGGAGAACGTCTTCGTGAGCCTCTCATGATTTCAGGATAGTTGAAACCCTCTTGAACATTCAGAAAGAGTGCATAATCACGAAAGGTGTTCTCCGAGGGGATACATACCTAGAGTTTGTTTTGTGAAGCACGTCAATTCTCTCCTGGGGAACGTCTTCGTGAGCCTCTTATGGTTTCAGGATAGTTCAAATCCTATGATGCTCCGATTCAATGCTCACCGATGATCTGAGCCATGGGGCAAGTTTGTTTTCCTCAGAATCTTTTTGAACATTTCGAGAGCATATGTTTGAACATTTAGAGTGCATATGAACATATATTTACGACAGGTCGCCTCCGAGGGGATAAATCACCATGTCGAACATTGCATTTTTGTTCCTGCCTCTCGCGTTCTCTTCCCGCTGTCCTACCTTTCGTGTCTCCCTCCTCTCAAGTCTTTTTTGGATCTTCTGGACATCCCTCTGAGGTTCTCACCCAGCCTATGGATCTTATGGTCTCCCTATTTGAGCTACACACCCCGACTGTGGGTCCATCTCCTCCGGTGCCTCCTCACTAAGGGTCCCCCCCCGACCGGATGGTTTTGACCGGTGTTCCTGCTCCAGGTTCTCGGAAACCCCAAGGCTGACGGGCCTTTTTGGGAGAAGCACACCAGATCCAAGCAGTAAAGAAAAGACTGATCATTGATCCCCCCAAAAGCGACCAATTCTTTCATGACGTCTCCCCTTTTCAGAGCTTTTTTGGTTTTGGAGAGGCCGATCCTTCACTGTGGTGGTGCCAACATGCATGTGTATGGGCCGACCCGTCCGACTCTGCCTGCATCTCTGGCAGATTCTCTAGGTCCAGACTCCGAGCTTCTTCCGGCACGGCACCAGCAGCGGGCGCGGCGGCTTGCGTGGCTGGGAAGCTCAGACAGCCGAGCCGCGGCACTGGGAGAGATGGAGGATGGAGGGTGCCGCGCTGCTGAAAAACGACGGGAGGATGGCTCCAAGGAAAGAAAGAGCCTGCCTGATTGAAGCGTTTGCAGTGGTTGGTTGTTTTTTTGATAGGTCCTTTCTTGGTTGACTCGTTACTGTTGGCTTCATCGCAAAGATGGTAGGAGAGAGGACGTGGACGATCACGAAACCCCTCGGTGACGAGAGTCTGGTTCCCTCCGCATTTCATCACCTGGAAGAACTTCTCATCGCTCCATGCTCGTCTCCACCGGGCACCGTGCTGACCTTTTCGCAGGAGAGTTGAGTTTCGCTGTGCGAGGGCTGAAGTCAAAACTGCTTCCCCAGACAGGTGAAGTCACGCAAGCCTGTCTTAGCGAGCCCGTGAGCGGGCAATGAGGGGAAGCCAAACAGGTAAACCCTCGGCTGGAATCATTTTTGGTGTGTCCTATGTGTTCCTCAGAAACTGAAAACGAGGCCTCTTGACCCTTATCAAGCTGCAGTTCTTTTCTTTAAAAGGTCGAAAGACGATCTTTTGCCTCACTTAAGAAGAGGAATAATCAGATTCTTTTAGTCTACCTAGAAAGACCATTCTCCTTATAGTCTTTGACTCTCAATTCTTTTGGTTCCTGGCACATTTCATCATAGGAGTCCTCGTAGATATACAGTACACCCTGATGAAACAGAAGGCATTCACGCGTCTTGAATCTTGATAAAACTCCCCAGGCATTCCAGAATGGGATCTTGAGTGGATGATCCATGAATAATTCAAGAGCAACCAAGCAGGTTACCTATTCTTTATCTCTGTCATTCAATGCAGCATTCATTCCACTCCATTGAACCACCGGAAGAAGATCTCTCTCTCTCTCTCTCGCCTTCCTACCGACCACACACCGTGCACCGTGCACCGTAACCGTAAGGCGGCTCTGCTACTGCTGCGCGCCTGGCCATGGCCTCGGATCGGGAGATGGACCCGGCTCGAGCCGGGCAAGCATTCTCGGATTCTTGGGGCTTTGTTCGCCCTAGGAAACATCATGGTGACAACTTCGTTGGTCCCCTCCCCGGACTTGCCAGGTGATACTCTTTTTAGGACTCTTTTTCAGCCCGTACGTGTGTTGCACAACCACTCGACTCACTCGACCCTCTTTACTCTCCCTGGAACTAACATGGAAGTGGAAAACCACCTGTTTGTAGTTGAACATGGTCTTCCAAGGAGCCATTCTCCACTTCCAGGTGAGTTTTTGGGAGTGTAAGTCACTCTTGTCACCTTCACGTCTTGCTCCCCCAACATGCCTGGAAATGATTGGAACTACACCCATCATCAACCTATTCGCTGCACAGCTTGCTCAACCTGAGCTTGCACAGCTTGCAGGTCTTTCACGATCTGATGGACACTTTGGGCCAGGGTTCTGAACGACCACAGCGGCGAACAAGATGTCGCCACCCTCTCTCTGAGTCGAGACCCCATGTTTTTCGGAGTCGAACCCCAGGCTTTTTTGGCGGATGTGCGTGGTGGGAAAAGCCGTTCTCCCAAGCAGAAACCGGATGGAAGGCCGTTCTCCTTCGTTTGCAACTACTTGGTATGGCAAAGATCTCAAGCTGGCGCCATAGTGCCATAGTGGAACAGCCAGAACCGCCTGTATTCTGCGCTGGGACTGGGGTTTGCAGGTGGATGCTGTCTTTCACTTGACCTCGGGTGCCAGCTCTCTGTTCATGCGGTGCGAAGCGGGCACGGTGGCTTCGCACCGCCCCCACAGCGGGCGTGTGAGGATCGGGTGCGGGGCGCTGGGAGGACGAGTTCTTGGGAATGACGAACTGTGCCGACGAGGTTCGACCGTTCCTACTTTCTGCACCCCTCCAGGCCAAGCAGAGACAGCGCGGAGCTTGGTGTCGTGAAACACGGAGGGTGTGTGGAAGGGGAGGCCGATTCCTTTCGGGCTGGGTGTGTGTGGAAAGAACGACGAAGCACCGATTTCGTTGCCCTCTGAGTCCAGTCGACGATTTCGAACATTGGACAAAACCCGAAGAGGAGCTTCCTTTCATTCGGCAAAAGGGCTGATACGGGTTGACCAGCAAATGGTTGGATGTAAGCATTCTGCCTGGGGGGGGTAGGCTGGCGTAATTAGGTATGTTTTGCTTTTTGTTTGTGGCAGAAGCCGCGTAGGCGCGCAGGCCAAAACTGTGAGCGCGTAGGCAGACAGTAGGCTTGGCGTAGGCACCAATAAATGATACAGTAGTAATACCTGACATCAGAAAAACAACACAACTCACGTGGGGACATCGTTGAGTTCGAGTCTGGGATCGATCGGATTTGGGGTGACATACTGAACGCCCTGTGGTTGGTAGTTGTTCGATGGTTTTTGCTGGGTGAATCAGAGTGAACTTCTATACTGAGCTATATGAGGTGGAGTACTACCTCATCAGACCCTCCTGACTCACCTCACATTCAGATGGCTTTTCTCGCACCAACAGCGCAAGAAAACCTGTCAGGTGGTTGCAAGAAACCTCCCAAGAGGCTTTCACCGCGTGAATTGGATGGCACAGGCATGAGTCTACTATATTATGTAAACAAAACTACGTTACTGTTGATGGAAGACATTCTGCAGCACCTGTAAGTGTCCCCAAAACGCCGTCCGAAAAACCATCCTTGGTCACCAATCCCAACCGGTGATGGCCCAAATTGATGTGTTCCTTCTTTCGATGGCGCAAGACTGCCCAGGCGTCTCGGAGCGGTCGCGAGCCGATCCGCGCGGGGACCCGGACGAAGGTCGGTGCGGTCGCGGAACGAAGGTCCGTTCATTGGGCTGGACCTTTGACTCATGAGCCAGCGAATTGAAGGACCTAATTAGTTTCAATGGAGCTTTTGGGAAGCGGAGGATGTGTGAACACGAAGCGGAGATGTTGGTGCTTTGAGGGGTCCCATGTCCCATCATGTCCAGGCAGAAGGGCTTAGATCTCTCGCAACAGACGGGTCCGAAGGCCCGGAGGCCATTGGGATCCGCTGCGTCGACATGGAAAGAAGACAAGGGTTCGGACTCAGGACCGGGTTTGATCTTAGATGTCTTTCAGGGGGTGGACAGGGCGTTTTCGTCCCGGAAGTTTCGATCTTCAGGTCACCGTGTCAGACCGGAACATAGTGGTGGAGTCTAGCTTGGACTTTGAACGATCTCAGGCTTTCTCTGGCTTACAGGGTCTGTCCTGGGTGGTCGTGTCCTGTCCAAGAACTCCGTGGTGTCTGCCCCAGACCCTGTTGGCACAAAGCGTATTTGTCCATGGATTGAAGCGTTTTTGTTCTTTGATGGAGCCATGGTCGTCCTGGGGGTCAACCGTGCGATGGTCCGATTGGGGGTGGTGTTTGGGTGAATGTTGAGATGTTCTGCTTTGATCAGACTTTCTGCCAGGAGTTAGTGTGACTGTGAATGAGGCGCCAATGAAATTCTGCAAAGGCCAGATGGCTTAAAAATCTGTTACTCGACTGAGTAAAATGAGGATGGTCCCGTTTCATACACGTTTGGGTGCACCCTATCTTGATCATAGTCGATTGAAGATGTATCCTCATCCCTCAGCCGGTCCTTTGCTAATCCTACGGCAAGATTCAGGGGCCGTACGCCATCCACTCCAACACCACGTGTTTTGTCTTGGTCCGTCAAGACTGGTCTCAGCGAATCGTTGGATTTTGTATGATTTTGTTTCACCGTTTCTCCCGGACACATGTCAACAGAGATCCATCGACTGGTGGTTGTTCGTGGCTGACCTGGGATGGGGTCAACAAACATGAGCCCATGCCACTGGTTCGACTGGGTTCGACTGGTTCGACCGTGTGGCGTCCATGGTCGGTCTCCTCGAAGCTCTGGTGGAGAGGGTGAAAACACCCGGCCATTGTGAGCCATTGGGGCTCCAGGGCGGCGGCCCCCTGCGACACCTTACCGTGATGTGATTCTATATCGATGGCTCCAGGCTGAGCAATGTACGTGAGGAAGCGGGCGCGGCGGCGCAGAGCCGGCGGGCGGCGATGACCCTTCGGGTGACCCTTCGGGTGGACATTTGGATCGAAATGACTCTTTTTGAAGCACCCTTCTTCAGAACGGCTCAATCAGGAGCCTGATTCCAACCAACAGGCTCAATGAGCTCAATGACTCATTGACTCACGTATACGAAATGCCGAAGCTTCCAAGCAGCTATAGAAGGTCAACCTCATTGGCCGATGCGCCTTGGATTCCGTGGATCGGGCAGGACTTGGTGGCTCACCCTCGTTCTAGGCCAGGTAGAACGAACGCGGGGTGGGCAGTGGGCCGCTGCTGAGGTAGTTGGCAAACATATATGATATGCATATGAATTACATGACAAACCTCTCATATAACATGTAACCTGAGTTTTGGATGGCTGTTTTCTTTCATAATTGCAAGATTTCAGATACTAGAATCTAGAAACCGTTGCCAGTGCAACCTTTTGGGGTCTTGGAAGGCCTGGGGATGCTTTTTGGGCCTTCCAACATCGAAACCGCCACCGGATTTCTCACCTGCAATCACCAGTTTCAACACCTCACCAACCGCCTACCGCTTGGGGTTGGTGGTGGATGTTTTGGACCCTGTTCCGTTGGAGCCCATGGACTGTAGGTGGTGGAACGCGCGACCTGAACGTTCGGACCTGGCAGGTCACCCGGGGTACCGAACTGGGATAGGCGACTTCATTCGGGTCCTGAAGAACCTCTGTTGGTAGCCATGCGAGTTAGTGCCACAATCTTCGGACCATGCGAAAGGAACTCTTGGGATGCGGAGGAACCCTGAAACGATGTCCCGCTGGACCGGGTGAGCGGCGGGTTAGCGGCCGATCTCTTTTCCGGTGGCCGTGGCCGTGGGTCTTTTCAACCGGGGGGACCTGCCTTCGGGGGAAGTTGAGTGGTTTTTTTTTCCCACCGATCATGGACAGAAGTGACCTGGGAGATGTACAGTACCAGGATTTGAGGCGGTTGGTCTTGACACTGAGGTCTCTTGCACATGCACTGCAAAAAGGCATCCGGTCAGACGGTCAGACCATCGGCTTTTGAGGGTCTTATTTCTTTTTTATTCACCTGCCATCTCCAAGGTTCTGCAGGCCGTCTTCATGCTAAAACATCAGCCAATGGCTCTCCAACCGTTCGGCTCTCCCAATTTGCCTTCGTTCGGGGCTACTTCGGCACTTTTGGGGGTGGTGACTCAAGTGTCTGGCCAAGTCCATGTTCTTTCGAGTGTCAGACATGGAAGCATCATGGATCTCTCTCTCTCTCTCTCTTGAGAGAGAGAGAGAGAGACAAAGTCTCGTGAATTTTCATGATCTCTCTCATTGCCTCTCTTCTCTCTCACTTCCCGGCTTCCGTGGTCATCTCACACCAGGCGCTGCGGGTGAGGCGTGCACGCCAGGCCGCCGTTGTTTCCACGCGCTGGTTCGTTGGCCTCGTGTGGTCCGATTCCCTACCTGTCAGGTGAGGGTTCATTAGATTTTAGGTATGTGTTTGTCGTAAAAGTATTGGTTAACGTTGTCCCTTTGTTTTGTTTTTGGGTTGAAGCTTGAGTGGCTTCTGAAGCCCATTTCATGAATGATGGACGAACAAAAAGCCCAGTTCTGAGTTCCTCGGTTCATCCTGAGGAACTAAACACATGTTCTAGCCCCTTAGCAATGTGATGTCCAATAGAGACTGCCCTCCCTGGCAATTTCTAAATTATGTTTATATAATACTTGTTCTACCAGAAGCCAGGCGAGCCGGGAGCCCTTTTCCTTTTCCGGCACACGCGGCCGGGTCACACAGTGGCCGGTCTATAAAGGGACTCAGTCGTCTACGCGTTTGGTTTACGTCTTGCGAGCTGGTCACACACACACACACATGTTACATGGTGATGTCAGTGATGTAGTAGTAGCAAGGACGCTACGAACGGGGCACTCCTGGCATCGCTACGAAGGGAGCACAAGAAAGCATCGCTACGAACGGAGCTCCGGGAATCGCTACTAGTAACAAAGGGCAATTACTATAGATTTCTCTTAGACCACATGTCTCTTAGGTCTCTTAGATGTCACACACCTCCTCTTTCGGGTTCGCTAGCTGCGCTTGGCTTCTGGCATCCATGCCTTTTGAGCTCCGACTTCGGTTCCGAGCAGCAGCGCCCGGGGCCGAAGGTCCTCTTGGTGACCACCGGGGAAGAGGAGAAAGTGGCCACTAGGGCGTCACCAGCACCGACGGCCAACGGGTCAATTGAAACCTGTGAGTAAAGGGCCCTTCCCAACAACCACCCTCCATTTCGGAGACCTCACTCACTGGTCTAGAAAGTAGTTACTTGGCTAGTTCAGTAAGTTCACCATCGTTCACCTCAAAACATCGGCTTAGAATCCTAATAGAGGTTCTTAATAGAGGCCTGTTCTGAGTAAGCCCCGGCAGCCCCCTCCCCCGGCAGAAGGACGCCCACCGTCGCCCGGCCACCGCCGCGAGTCCGGAGCGCTGGGCTCCTGCAGAAGGCCGCCAGGCACCGCTCCGCCGGAGGCGGACCGCGTCGTCGTCCTTCCAAGAGGACGAGAGGACAAAGAGGGTGGATTGATGAGTGTAGGAGAGGGCGGGGATAGTCCCTAGCTAGGGCTCCTGTCCCATATTTTCAGGTTCGGTGGGAACAGACCCCCCTGGCACCCACCCCTTGCCCATCTTCGGAGCTGGGCCAGCCCAAACGGGAGTGTAGGAGAAGGGGGCGAAGGTTGGGGGGGAGCTGTGGCACCTGGAGATTGTCCCCTTAAACACTGTGGTCACGCGTCCTGGGACCGACCGCTGTGCTTCGGACCGACAACACAGATGCTGGGAGATTGAGCTGAACACCATCCATGAGGCAAACAATATCCATGACGATTTGATTTGGGGGATGTGAAGGCTGTGTTTGGATGAGGGGTATTTGACAGTGCTGCCACCCCGAAAACGCCTGAAAACGGAGTGGCGAGTGGCTAGTGGTCGAAATGTGACTCTGTGCTGTTTAAAAGGTATGAATCTCCAACAGTCCATGTTACAGAGGCATTATCGGAGGTTTTTCATGTCCCCTGCGAGACTTCGGGACCTGAGTCGGTTTGGCGGCGTCGTTGCACCCGTCGACTCCAAAGCTGGAGATGTACATTGAAGTCAACAGCAAGAGATATTTTGGAGTGATCCAAATCTTGCATTTGGATGCATTTTGCAGGCTTATTTGCTTGTGGACCTCAGGCGGACCTAGCCGAGAGGAGTTGAAATAATGTTTGCGGATATGTTGGACAGGCGTGCGTTTCAGAAAAGCAATTAGCTTCCTACCCATTTCCGCAATCCCAAATTCGAAATTGTACCTGCATTTTGCCGCACAGCGCGATTTCTTATTGAACATCTAATTACTGGAAGTGCGCAGTGTCATTGCAGCTGGATCGCTCGGGTCGTTGGTCTCGCGCCTGTGAAGCTCCAGGAGCGGCTAGTCTTCGCGGCTTTCTGCGGCTCGCCCGGAGCCCACACCTGGGCCGTGTTCATGCTCAGCCAGCGCACGTTGACCTTGAAGTGGCTTGCGGGAGGTGAAGGTCAAATGCTGGGGGTCTGGGCAAGCACTGGAGCGCCGCACAATATGTTCCCGGAAGGTGTGCGTGCCGTCAACTACGGCCTCCCCGGTTGCCTTTGTGTGGGCGTTGACGGCGTAAACAGGACTGGGCCTTGATGGGGGCTGTCTGAGGGTGACCGCCGGCACCGCAGCGTTTTACTGCAAAAGCGTGGCGCACACACCGGTGGGCGGAAGTGTTCGGGCAAGTAGCTGTGACTCTAGCAGGGGCCGTGCATGTCTTTTGTGAGGCAGGTGCTGAGAAACATCCTTGTGGCATGTTGTGGCCAAACAGTACTTATATACTAGTTACCGTCGAGAACCACCGATGGGCCTTTCCTGACCACAAACGACCACGCCTGACGCACCCCAACGAAGCACAAATCCAAAGGCGGAAAATTCCACGCCTTGGACGCCTCTTTTATAAGGTGTTCGACATAGCTAAGTGGCGCGTGGCCCAACACATGACACCCTGACACCCACAAGTCTTAAATCAGTGGTTATTTTCCCTTTGACCACACGGCCAAGCCACAGGACCAAGCGCCAGGACTGAGCGGATGTGGCCAGAACTTGTTTTTATCCTGGATTCGTTTGAGTCACGTTGCGGCGCTGGTGATGACCATGGCCACTAGAATGGGTTGGTTGATTTCATAGAATGGTCGCCTATATTTAGTAGGCAACGTAGATGCATTTTACATTGGATTGGGGTTTGATGCTCGCCGTAAACTTTGGCCTTAAATTGCATTGGAACCAGGGGAAACATCGCTGCAACAATGTTTTGGAGAACCTTCGGCAGCGATGATGCGCGAGGAACCAACATATTAACCAAAATTTTTGTGAGAGATAATTGTTTGATCCAACATAATTTGTGGCTCCAACTTCTTGTTCCCCCCCAAAATACTGTAATTGGCGCAGCCGGTTGTTTTGCAAGCGTGGGCAGGTTTCCTGGAATTCGATTTTGATTTGAACAGAGTTTTTCTGTGGGGTCAATGCAAAGGTGTGTTCTCTTTGTTGATCCCACTTGGCAAGTCAGGATATGGGTGTTTATTACAATAGGATGGCCTCCCAATTTACCCTTGGAGGTTTTTTGGCGCGGATCTTGCCAGGGGAATCTTTGTGGCGTTCCAATTCGTCAGACCTTTGCGTACCAACATCACAACGTTCGCAAGTCGCGGGGGAACATCAACATGACCAACCCGTTGGAAGTCTCGTGCGTCGAAATCAACTCATCCAGAAACCTGGCGCCATGCGATGGCAGAAGGGATTCAACGGGCACCCGTGGGACCGACGGCGCTCCCCCTCCGGGTTCTCCCGCTCGTTTGGTCCGGCGGTGACGTGCAGGAGCCCTTCATCGGAGCGCATTGCGACAACTGGACCGGGCGCGGCGAATTCGGGGTATGGAGCTGGGAGAGGAATGGTCCCGGGACCTGGCATGGGTATGGAGTGAGGATGTGAACCCTATCTTATTCATTCATTCTTTTGGATAACCACCATCAAGCCTTTCCGGTTCTTGTCAGCTAAAAAGAATAAATGAATAAACGTGATCTTTTTCTTTCTGGCGGTTTACAGGTGGCGTAGGAGGCTGTTAGCCTGGTCACGTCTAAACCCCCCTTCTTGGATCTGGGGAAGAGCAGCTCTTGGCCTGGCGGTGTAATCCCAAGAGCAGGAAAGAAGGAAAAGGAAGAGACCAACATCATTAATTTTATTGAAGAAAGGAAGCACACAATAAAATTAATGATCATTCACTGGTAGGGTGGTTGATGATGGTAGCGCCCTGAGCAGTTTTTGCAAGAGAACCTCAACATGAAGCCTTAGAGGGAGAAACGCTTTATCTCCCATGTGTGTTGAAGATCTTTAATGTTTTCAGCCCATATTGGAGGCCATGCCTCATGGTGATGACGTGGGGTTGGCCATACCCAAGACCCAACAATTTTTGAGGATCATGCCGTGAAGCAAAGATTGGGCATTTCAAGAGCTCATGATATACTCGTACAGTAGAGTAGAGCACCAGGAAAGCTGGTGCGAAGCAAAGCTTGCCTGAATTCCTCCTTTCTTTCAGTTCCGCGCCGCGCCAGGCCATGTAAGCAGGAGTGATCTCCGGAATGATCATGGGGGTGCGGTTTGGGCATGCAAAACGGAGATAAAAGGAGTAGACCAAAGACATCCAGGCGAAGGGACACACTGGGTTGTTTGGCTCTGCTTTGTGCACTTTGCCGCCCGGTTTGGGTTGGAGGTCTCCCTATTTGCAGACGTTTTGGGTGACCAAGCCACAGTCGTAAAGGATTTTTGGATGACTTTTTGCATGGATGCTTTACCGTTCGTTCTCACCATGCTCAGCTCCTCAACTTGGCGCGCGCTTTCCGCGCGTCCTCCACGGGAAGTGCCACCAGAGCCACTGAACTGCGGACCTTTCAGGGACTGTGTTCCTTCACCCGACCCCCGAGAGACCGGTGATGATGTGTTGCTTGCCCAAGCCTGGGGATCCCAGACATGTGTCCCAGACACTGGCATCTTTGCCAAACAAAAAATGGACCCCCAGTTTCACCACCGCCCTTGGCCTGAAAACGGTACATATGTCATCATATGTCAGGGGTTCCATGGGGTGGTGTTTGGGTTCTCGAGGTTTGGATCGACATTGGTTTGGAGCGGAGTTTGATCCGACCGATTGGCCGTTCGATGACCAGGCGGCCGCCCAAGTTCTTTTTTTTTTTTCCCAAGGAATGACTGCTACAAGGCAGGAGTTCTTCCAACAGATGCCACTTGATACCACATAAAGACCATTTCTGCCATTCTTTCCAGGAAACTTTTTGCTGGTCAGTCACCCCTTTTTGAGAGGTGAACAGTCTGGTCTCTCAAAATAAACGCGGGTTCCTGCCGCGGGCTCGTGCAGGAGCCCTGCGAGCGCTGGTGCTTCGTAGACCCATGCCAATGTGCCGTGGCAGCAGCCGCGGGGTGGTAAAGGTGGAGCCTCGACCAGGTGGCGGCAGACTGGCGACAGCGGGGTTTCTCCATGCCTTTTGGTGGGAGGTTTTTCTCCATCGACGTCACCATGAGTCCTACAAGTAGTCAACTCGTGGCCCACTCGTATGCAGAATCCCTTGCAGCCCTGGCAATTGGGGGAGCATCGTTCCAGCACATTTGACCGGATGGTTGGAGGACCTTCACCTGCAGGGGCACCCTAAGAAGGCACAGGCCCACCTGACCTTCCTTCCACTCACCTCAAAACCGTTTCAAGAAAACCCCACCCTCTCCCGACATCAGCTGACACCTCTTCTGAGGCGTCGCCTCCCAGACCAACACGTCGCACACCGCGTGAAAACCTGGTCCCGGGTCCAGCAGGTTCCGTCCATCCCCCATGATGCTCCGCCGTGCTCCACCACGTGGGATCTCCGCGACCGAGGCAACGTCTCGAGCCGCGAGTCGGCCGCCACCGAGCCACTTTGGAGAGGAAGGGCGGGCGCGAGGAAGGAGAAGGGTAGCTTTTCAAAGGGGTCAACACAAGGCAGCTACACACAAGAAAGGCCAGGAGAAGGTAAGGAAGACCTTCTGTTGCTATCCTTGCTATCCTTTCAAAGGATTGGTTTCTGGTCGTTTTTGTCTTTCTCATGAGACACCAAATGATTAATGAGACCCTGAGGTCACCACTCTTCGCCTCCTCAATGCTCACCGATGCCAGGCCCAGGGATGTCGATGTGCGCGCTGCCATCGCTTCCCCCCTGGTCATCTACTCTGACGCATCGTTTGAGAATGGGGAACTGAGGTTGGGCTGGGTGATCGTGACTGACCCCCCTCTCGGGGCTTTTTCCATGATCTTGGAACTAGCCCAAGACGTTCGCAAGACTGGAGGCGTCATGTGCGCAAGACATTTGGTTGTGCTTGCATGCTTGCGCACGAGGCCCTTTCCCATAACGCCGCCGTCCAGAATGTGGTGGTGATTCCATGGCACCAACAGGCGCTCTCTGCTGCGCTGTGCTCTCTACTACGCTGTGCTCTCTGCTCTCTGCTGCGCCGTGCTCTCTGCTGTGCTATGCTCTCTGCTGCGCTGTGCTCCCCTTTGTCATTGCCCAGCTCTTGAAATCACCCTGGACATCATTAGACTGTAAAGCAAAAAGCATTACACCATGTCCACTATGTTATGTAACAGGCTTCAATATTCGAATCCTGAGGTTCATGAGGCAAAATGGCAGCAGCTTCAATTCAGCTTTACACCATCCAACTTTTCAGCCACGCAGCTTGAATATACTTCAATGTCCAAGTGAATAGGCGCACAGTGGAAGACAAGTGTATTCTTCCGCAAGAAAAGTTCACGCTCAGAATCGCCTGCTGGCAGCCGAATTGCTGTGTCCTCCTTGATTTGGGGTTCCAGTAGTCAAAGTGACGTGCGTACCATTGTGCAGTTATTCCATTTGGTTTTCCAAAGGCACAACGTGCGTCCTTGGATCGAATGGGTTGACTCTGCGGATAATCCCTCGGACGGTCTATCCCGCCTGGGCCTTGAGGATAGTTGGGCCCAAGCCCAGGGGTTGATTTTAAGCGAAGTTCCATTTCCTCCTGAAGTCCAATTTGTTGCCAGGCCTGAGGATCTCCAGCCTTTCATGATTTTATAGACAGTGGGCGATCAGGTAAGTTCATCAAAGATGACTTATCCAGCTAGTCCGTGTGTTTTCCAACCACGACTGAAACCCAGTGTTATGTATAACACTGCTGTTCAATATAGGAGCGTGCTCTGGTCTGTGAACCTCCGTCATGTATCTGTGGGAGTACATGAACGCGAACTCTCGTCTGATGTCCACGGAAAAGTCTCCCGTTGTTTGGCCCGTGATGTCCAGGACCCAGGCTTGACCCATGGCAGTGGGCTTAGCTACCTTATTACCATCGAGGGGAGAATTGCCTCATCCGCGCATCCTTGTGGAACTCCCTGAGCCCAAGGCTTCGACAGCCGACGCGATCTCTCGACAGACCCACGTACCGCCGGAACAAGCGAGGATGGCCCTTGGAACAATGCGCCAGCCCCGAGACTTTGCCAGCAACGCAAAGCAGTTGTGGCTGCAGGTCTCGGGCGCGTTGCTGGTGATAGCGGGCCGCCCGATCACTTGCCCAGGGATGCTGGAAAGAGCGCTCACGGAAGTGTATGTCCTGGGCATGAATGGCTACACAGACCTCTCACCGCAAGGTGTCCGAAACGAGGCTGACGTTGACCCAGAAATCACGCAAGGTGACGAAGACGGTGGATGGGCTTGGGACATTGAGGAGGAGGAGGGGGAGGTGCTTCACGACATTTTCAAGAGGTCCGAATTTTTTATCGGTCAAGTGGGTCCAAACAAAGGAAGAATGCAACAAATGGCATGGGTGGAAAGCAATCCAAGCTGGAATCGAGGTTTTGAAACTCTGACCGCACCGCTGATAGGACGAAACGATGGGTTGACAAAAATCAGACTCAACAACAAACTGCTTCTGTATCGGCGTCGCGTCTGGAGCACCTCAAAGCTGGTATGATTGGTCTCAGTGGACTACAGTTGCACCCCCCGACCCCGACCAGTTCCGTCTATTTATAGACCCCCAAAGAGATAGAAACGTATAGAAAAGTCGATCGCCGTGTGGAAAATGTCCTGGAAACCGTGCGTTTCTATCCATGTCCGCGGGCTGCGTCCGCCTAAGGCAGCTGACATGGGAGGGCCGCAAGCTGCACCTCAGCGAGGAGACCTGCCACAGCCCGCCGCCCACGCGTGGCCGCTCGGTGCGGTGTTGGGCGCATGTGGTGAGACGGTCTTTAGCGTAGAGAACCTGGTTTTCTTGGGGTGAGCGTGTCAAGAAGAGCATCATTTTAAGGTTTACAATGGTTTACATATGTTTCAATGGTCTTCTTGGCCTGAACCTCGTGTTCTCACCGACCTTCTCGCCCATCCATCGATGAGGCGCCAAGGGAACTTCTCCATCGGACGGTCGCTTTTGCAACGCCTACGACGAGGCCGGCGGCGTGGGACCGAAGCGAAGCGAAGCGAAGTGCTTCGTCTTGGAAGAGGCGCGCCCAAAAGCCAAACGCAATTCAACCACCTTTTAGGCGTGTTCTCTTCCGTTCAATGATTTTTTTTCAGGTCTTCGAAGATGTTAATTTCTTTCCATTTACCTCTTCTTTCCAGAAGAGATGCCCACCACGCCTTCTTCCACATTTCCCACACCCCGGTCCTCCATCCTCCATCCGCACCACACGTTGCGAGACTGCTGCGAAGGAGAGCTACGGTGACCGCAAGTGCAAGTGTATCGGCGTGGAACACCTGAAGGGCCAAGTGGCCGTCGAAGTGGCGGGAGAGTCGCTTGGGCTATCGCTGTCTGGAGATGTTCGGGGTGCGAAACGAGCAGGGAGAGATGGGAGTGATGGGCCAGTGAGGTAAGTGGGGGTGGGTAGGTTGAGGTTGACAAGAATGGTCAAACTGAGGCACTGAGGGCAAAGATTTTCTGAGGAGATCTTCATGCAGACTTACCGATGGAGTATATAGGTGATTCAGATGGTGTGTTCTTTGCTGTGGCCTCTGGTGAATTTCCGCCATCACATGCCCATCACGGATGCCCCGCGCCCAGGACGGCGACGTACCCGGCGGACGTGGGTAGCCGCTGTGCGGCCTGGGATGCTGAGCCGCTCAGCCTCTGTGCACGGGAGGATGCGCCGTCCTGGAAGCTTGGACGGATCGAGGGAGGAGAGCTTGGGCCTTTTTTCTGGCAGATGCCCACTGGGGCAGGTGAAAAAAAACTGGTGCAACGCATTGCAACGCGAAAGAGTTGGCTAGTGGTGCCATGCCCCAGGCATCTGAATTTCGGGAGGAATTGCAAGATTGAATTTCTAATTACAATGGAGCGGCGGAATATTCCCCTGGTTTCTAGACTTTCGAAGCGCCTTCCTCGCTGGAACCACTCTCTGAAGTGATTGGTGTGATTTCTTGAAAAGGATTGACACATGTTACAGGGATTTATGAAGTCGTAGCTCGACACTGGAAAACTGCAGAGTTCCTTGTTTTCAACCCCGACCTGCCAACCATTGGGGCCTTCAATCCCTCAGCTTTGGGCCTTCGAATCCCTCCAAGCTGAGATTGGAAGTGACCTGAGTACCGACCTGTTTCGCTCAGCCGTCTGATCAACTGAGGTGCCAGAAGAGCTGGTGCTACGTGGACCCCTGCGCCTGCGCGATCGCGGAGCCGCCCAAGGCGCTGTCCGAGCGCTGCTCCCGACGGGTCGACGAAAGGAGCAAGAGAGGCGGACAGCGACGGGATGAGGTGATGGTGGTTTGCTGGTGTTCAAAGATTGCAAGGTATTCCACATCACACAACTGATATTTAATGTTATTAACTGCGTTGAGTCTTTCGTAGTTTTGGTTTTGTATTCGAGAGGAACGATTGTAGGCTCTAGTGGTGCTGGTTCTTGGATAACAGATGGGCGGCTGCCACTGGTTTGACCTGGCGATCAGCTACCCTCTTGCCGAGTGCCAGTTGGAGCCCAGCTTCCCATGATGTATCATGTCTGACGTGGATCTTAAACCTCAGGTCACCAACTAAAAAGAGTCCGGTTGAAAGATTGCTACCTGATGCTACCTGTTTTTCTTGGACGCTCCGTCATTTTTCTGTGCTCATATCGTGGGATTCTTCAACGTGCCAACGAGTCGAGTGTAGTCAGTGTAGTCCTATACCTGTTTGCCACCGTGACCCTGGCCCTTGGAAGGTCTCGACCTACTTCCCGAGTGCCAGCTATCGGAAAAGGCCGCTCTACTACTCCTACGTCTCCCGGACGAACAAAGCTGGAAGGGATGGGTGTTGGTCCTCGTGTGAAGCTGGGAGCTACAGCAAGAGTTCGAAGGCCAACAGAAGACAAGACGAAGGCAGTTTTTTGAGCTGTGCCAGTTTTGGAGACCACAAGGAATATGTCAAACAGTTCCAAGTTGGGGTGCCTATTGGAAGGTAGGGGTGCTCCATTATCTTCCAAGATCCACTGACTTAGAGACTTGGAGACAAAAAGACACCGTGACATGGAGCTCCAGGAAAAAGTCAAAACATGTTCGGTTTTGCCTGCTTTCTTGAATGATGCACCCTTCTTCTTCTTCTTCTCCTCCTCCTTGTTCCTCCTTCACTGGTTCCGAGACGTGCACGAGCGTGAGAGCTGCAACCGAGGAGACCTGTGGGGCGCAGGATAGCTTCACGCCGGACTCGTCCAAGGCATGTGTCAACCAGGAACCTTTCTGGGGATGGGCGCGCGCGTGGAAGGTCTGCCCCGATTTTTGTGCTCGTGGTTTAGGCCGAGTATCAATCTAATAGATCTAATAGGACTGCCAAGCTCCTTCTTTCCGACCCCAGGACAGTCATGCTGCCAAGCAGTCATCATACATCATCATACTGACAACCCGAGCAAACTGGGATAACTTTTAACACATTATCCCTTTTACTACTGGTCTCTTCTATACTCTCTTTCACCAACAGCTCCTCCCCAGATCACACAATCCACCCACCCCCCCCCCACCCATCCAACCCATCCAACCCGTCCCCCCCCCCCGGTCACACCGCGGTCTCTGACCGCACAGTGCTCGCGCCGGCCGCGCCTCCGCCGCCGTCGCCAGGAGACCGAGGCGCGGTGTTTGAGCCTGGGCGCCGACCCGGAGGACCCCGAGCTGCGGAAGTGCGCCTGGGGCGGCCCCGAGCGGCTCGGCGAGGTGGTCTCGGTGTGGGGGGACGGTGGTACGAGCTGGGCAGCCCAGTGGTCAGGTGTAAAGGTGGTTTCTTTCTGTTCTTCTTTGGGGGGTGGGTGGGTGTTTGTGCGTGTGTGGTTTGTCGATACTTTGGCTTGTAAAACTCATAGTTTATATATAATAAGTTGTTCTGAGGAACTTGTCAACCAGTTCCGGGGCCATGAGAGATTCCTTTATACATAGATCAATTTTCCCCGTGCGGGAGAAAAGCTGACGCTTTGGCGCAGACCTTTTTCGCCGCCAAGGATCAAATGCCTGGGGAAGGAGTTGTTGCACATGTGCCAAGTGGATGGTGCCTCAACTTGAATTGATTCTGGAGTCTCACCACCTTGAGGGAAAGGCAGGTGTGGTTCTAAGTCTACTAAGTGAGGAGAGCAGATGATGACATGAAGAACGACCAGTGATGTAAACTGCCTGCGGAAGTGAAACGAATTCAAGGTGCCGTGACCTCCATCCAGGTGAGGTGCTGCTCGTAACTAAGAGCTTCATTCACATGAAACCTGGAGGGAGGGCAAAGCTGCTGCAGGGAGCACTGGAGAGCCAAGCTGTTGAGCTGGCACTCTCAGTTTGCAGACCTGTGAACTTGCGATTTCCCTGTCCCGACCTTCCATTCACCGATCAACCGGACTGGATTGCGTGCGTAACTCGTGATGCGTGCAACGCAGTGATGCGTAACTCGTGAAGAGACTGGGAAGACCAGACTGGGTGCGCCCCCACAAGCCGCAACAACCTGTGAACCTGGGTGATTGACGCCCACCCCTTCCGATCCCGAAGACCACCTGGACCCCAAGCACACCCATTCTGTGCGACCTGGGCGCCTTCATTGCACAAGCATGCATTCTGCCGGACATGACGGTGCTCATGTGGTTGTTTCACCTGCTTGACCCATGTAAAACCATCAACCACAATGGATTCAACGCCTTTGAACGGACGCTCACAGAATGTTTAGTGCATGTGGTTTCATGTGCCCACAAGCCCATCGAGGACGTCCCAGAAAGCAGTGCGACGCAGCTGCCCCCCCCAAAATATCCGAACTCCGTCACCATCAGTCACTTCCCTTGAAAGTGCCCTGTGGGGCGCCATCTTCAAAGACAACGCCCGTCTATTGTGTCTCCTTCCCTCCGCTCATCTGCTCAGAAGAGACCCTCTCGCACTGGTCGTGGTGGTCCTTCAGCTATGGCGATGTCGGAAGGCCACGACGCGCCGTGTGGCGGAGCGCGCGGCGTGTGGCGAGCGAGGAGCGCGGCGTGTGGCGAGGATGGGGGGGGTTGAGGCAGGCAATGAGGGAAAAGGACGACGAAAGTGACTGACGTCCGGGAATTTCAAGAAACTAAGGTGTATGGCTTAGCGCTTAGGGCTTGTGGAAAAGAGAAACCAGCTTTTGAGATCCTTTTGAGCTCCCATGTATGCCTGTATACTGTATCATTGTGTCCAAGAACCTTGAACCTATAGGCTAGTACAAAATGACCCAAAAGACATATCTACCGTTGTCTACCTGAATTCTAAGAGCAAGTGCTCTTTCAATTGATGTGCTTTCTTTTTGGTGTGTGTGGTTGTATACTCCAGGTCATGTCAGGTCATGGACGGGACGGACTACAGATTTCCCGCTCAGTCCTCTCTCAGCCCTCAGTAGCTGCTACCCTAAAACAAAAAGTCATTGATACACGGAACATGTAGACTAACTAATCAGGACTGATGGAGGTACGAGTCATTGATACCCTAAAACCATCTAAAACCTCAACATGTAGTCATTGATACCCTAAAACAGTTATTCATACAAGTACCTATTAAGGAGGTACGTGTTCCATGGAACATGTGGACTGGCAGGGGCAAACAGTAGATGGTAGTCAGTCCCTTTGGCTGGATCAGATGTAGGATAGTCGATCGCCACTCAATTACGACTCTTCTCAGTCTACTTTCCCACACTATTCTACACCTTTGGATACCAGCTCTGCCCTACTGGCAGTAGTAGCATGTACTAGCCCACGATCCAACACTTTTCAAGAACCGAACATACCAGCTCATGCAGCAGACTGGACTCTAGGCAGACTCTGCATCCAGTTGTTATACATCGCTTATAGGTCTTATAGACATCTGTCGACCCCTCACGCCTCCTCGCGCCTCTCATCGTCGTCTCCATCGCCACGTCGGTCCGCCTCACCGTCCGCCCCTCTCCAGTCAGCAGCTGCTGGGCGCCGTCGTGCCTCGGCCTCTGTGGTCCGCGTGTTCAGCGAACGGTACCGGGGGCGGGTCGAGAGTGAGGGGTGACCGCTGGGGATGCTTCGGGGGGGGGCGAGAGTGAGGGACGCAACAGATGCTCGTCTGGGGGCGATCTGAGATCTGGGATCTGATGGGTCCGAGAACGAGTCGTTTTTTTGGGGAGACGGAGGCTGCTTTTGGGCGAGCACGTCCAAACAACCGTTTTGGTGCATTGGTGATGTCCAAGAGCGCGACCTGCCGCAGCCTGCAGCATCTGAGCTTGAAAACAGTCACCATCCCATGTCAGTGAAATGTTTTTTCACACAGTGCTGCTCAACTGATTTTCTTCGCTACTGAGCTTCCAAACATGACTTCAAACACTTTAGCCTGCAAGGACACCCACACGCTCATGGGCCCCTGTTCGCTCCAAGCACACATCGACATAAACCAGCTCAAGATGCCCGCATACCGGGCACCATCAGATGTTAGATGATCAACATCCGAAGAGTTCAAGATCATCCATCTCCAGTTGCCCAAGATCATGAAGGCCAACAGCCTCTCATCCATCATCCTCGCGGGTCCCTTGAAACTCCTCGGCCATGGAGGAAGGCCAGGCCATCGAGCTGCCGCGGACGCGGCGCGGCACCGGGCAGCCGACCGAGCTATCCCAACAGCCGCGAGCGTCGCGGCCGTCGCACGGCCGGCGGAGCACGTTGGCAGCGGTGGCGCAGCAGCTGCAGCAGCAGGAGGCAGAGGAGGAGGCGCAAGAGGCAGCTGTGGCTGCTGGGGAGGCAAATGGTAGATGGTCCACGATATCCAAGGCGGAAGTGGTGCTTTTGACGTCGCTTGGGCTGGTGATGCCGGTAATGCAGTTGAACATTTTGGCCTTTTTAGCCCTGCGAGACATCGCCTGACTTTGGGTCGTTTTCGTGATCTCCAGACTCCATGTTGTATCATTCCGAGTATTCAGGGGGTGGGCAGGGAAATGTTTCATTCTGCACACTTCCAATGATTTGTAGTGATTTGTAGTGGGCAGGGAATGGGCAGGGAAATGATTTGTGCTGTAGTGATTTTGCCCCGAGCCCTTCACCGCTTTGCCCTGAGCAATTGGCAGCGCACAGAGCCCTCATGATGTGAGGTACACCTACCAGAGGATCATTGCCAACATCAGCGTGGTAAGCGAGTTTTACATAGACTTAGACGATCCCCGCGATATGCTAGTGGATGGCATCATAAGACCGATGATTACTGGGTTTGGAGTCTATTGCTTCTTACATCGAAACCTGGATCCAAAACTTGAGTTCCACAGATCCGCAAGTCATCACCCCCATTGCTGATCTAGAAGCCTGAAGTTTCCATTCAACCCATGGATCCCACATGTGCAGTATGACACTTCTTTTTCAACCGCGCCTCCATCTTGGGAGAACTTCCCTATGAGTCTTTCCCAAATCTTTTGCCCGTCTGAGGAAAGAGCCGATTTTCGAGCAAGTCCAAGCTCCACCTGTGGAGCCGGCGCGTAGTTTGTTGTCTGGCTTTGTTTGTAGCCGATGCAAGTGGTTTGAGAATCCTAAATAAAGTTTTCTACTCTATGACATACAATTGGTTGGACAGAATGTCTTTAATAGGTAGTGTGGTGATACTCTGGGAAGCAATTTGCAATGCGATGCAGCTGGCCATGACCAATCTGAAACTGCGTCTTCTAGGGCGCCGCAACTCTGCTCGGGTGGGTGAAGTGCTCACAGCTGTGGCTTGCAGTTGTTTGTGCTGCATTGTTTGCATTATTGTGAGTGTGACTGTCTTGGATGCAGAGCTTGACGAAGAAGGATTCCTTGCGACGACTGTCCGGGCCCTGAAGTTGGTCACCTTCTTGACCTCTTCTTCCGCTGTTGTGTTGCAGTCGCTGACCCTCTGTTTTTCTGCAACCATGGCATTGCGCTTGGGCATCCGCGATCCTGCTGTGCGCTGCTCCTCGTGCTGCTTGTACGTCAATGCGGCGCTGACGTTTGTCGGGCCCATTCTGAGCGGGGCAGCCTTTTTCAGCATTGTGGACCGGGGATCGGAGTCTCAGTTGCCCATCACCATCGTGACGCTGGACGTCGGCTTCCAGGTCCTGTCCGTCCTCTTGATGAGCGGCATGATCGGCCCGAAGGGCTGGCAGCGGCCCATGGAGTCCTTTCGCAAGCTGGCGGATCTCTCGGGTTTCGGTTTGGCCGCCAAGCGCATCGCGTTTCCCGGGAAGATCAGCCAACTGGCCAAGCATTGCATCGTGTCGTTTCCGGGGAAGTACAGCGAGGCAGGATGGCAGGACAAAATATGGCGCAGCTCAGGTTTCTTCAAGCAGATGTGATGTTAGAGAAGTGCGGGGGTGAAGTTGTATCGCTTTAAGATGAAGACATCATGGCATAAGAAGCCCATACATGTCATAGGAGGTCTCCCCCCAAACATATCTATATATAACCGGAACACGTATTGCATTCTTTGCAGCCAGGATTGGGACACGGCGGTGTCCACCGTGCAGCATGTGGGCGGTTGCTCACTGGCGTGCGTCTTCCTGACGGACCGCGCCTCTGGTTTAGGTTGCCATGCGGAGAATCCCGACACGCCAGGGCAATGCTGGTGCCACGCCCTCTACGGCGAGTTGCCAGGAGGGGAGGAACAATGGTCTCCATACGTTTCAGTCGGATCATTTGAACCTCCATTCAGAATCCAGAAGTAAATAAGTAACCATTGGGGGGCAGTCCCCAAATCGTTTTCGGATCAGATCAACCATCCACTATCACATATACATACATACATACATACATACATACATACATACATACATACATA